ATGAAAATTAATAAAATATAATTATAGAAAAGAAAAAAAAAAGGTGTGGAGACAAGATGCATCCCTGATGCACACCTTTTCTGATTTTGAACCATGTAGTGTTTCCTTGCTATGTTTTAAGGACTGCTTCCTTGTTCAAGTATAAGTTTTACATAAATACAATCATGTGTTCTGGGAAAAAAAAAGATGTCTGTTTGAAGGTTAAGGTGTGCATGATCTCAGCCCTCGTATTTTCAGTTACTTCCTCTGCATCTGAAAGTTGGACAATTAAGTAAGAAGACTAAGAAGAATCAATGTCTTTGAATTATAGTCTTGCTGAAGAATACCGAATATCCTAAAGACTGCCAAAAGAACAAGCAAGTTTGTGTTGGAGTGAGTGCAATCAAATGGCTCCATAGAGGAAAGGATGGTTAAACTTTGTCTTACATAGTTTGGGCATGTTGTCAGGAAAGACAAGTCCTTGAAAAAAGACAATACAGGATCCAAGAAAGAGGGAAAACCTCAACAACATGGACTTTTGATATAGGTAGTATTTTTTAACTTTTACAGTATTTGTTTTTTGACATTTTTATTATGATTTGAGTGAAACTGTACACAGCAAATTGATTTTCTGTCCAATTCATACACATATTTCCTGATATTAATTACAGTTCTTACATTGTAACAATACTCTTCACACTTCATTCTTGTGCTTTCTACCTCCATCTGCCCTTCTTTCCTATCTCTCCTTGCCTTCTGAGATTTATCCTTGGGGAAAACATTACCCTTTTGATCTTACGATTGTTCTAAGAAATGCTGTTCCTCCTTGGTCTTAGTGATCACTTTAGAAGCCTATCTGTTTTTTTGAATGGAAGTTGACACATAGGTATGATTTTAGTTCCAGGCTGGAAGGGCTGGAAGGGTGAGCATTAATCTCAGGGATTCCACCAATTTTTACCAGATTAGTAAACCTGGCCTTTTTATGCTTTTGGCTTTTATTCCACCCTATCAGGGACCTTCTGTTGTGATCCTTTTCTAAATAGTAATATTAGTCATGCATCATGTAGCTCTTCTGGTGTCAGGCTGGATTTTTAAATATTTAATATTTGCATGCTTAAAGAAGAATTTTGGAAGCAGGAGTGGCATCCACTTCCTAAACAACATGCCTCCAGAAACTCCATGAATTTGATAAATGATGATAGTTATAGAAAGGCTTTAAGCCTTTGGTTCGTAAGGTCACTTTGAGTGGTGCTCGGTGCAAAGGTAATCAACAACAACAAAGAAGAATTTGGTTATTGTTCATGAACTTAGCATTATCTTACCATCTTTTTTCTTTTTAAGCAAATTCTTTGCTTTTGGATTGATTCACCAGTCATTGCTCTCTGACCTCCAATAAAGAAGCATGTGATAGAGAAGAGTAGGAAAGGGGTTTAAGTTGGCATTGACTCTAAGATCTTTTTTGAATAATACATTTTAATTATTCTATCAAATGCAAACTTTTCTTTTTCTGTAGCCTGTGATGGTTGGAAGAAAAAATACTTTGAAACAAAGAAAGTCACAGCATCACTAGAGGAGATTTTAACAAAACTTCGAGAAGATTTGGAACTTTACTATAAAAAATTGCTCATGCAACTTGAAGCCAGGGAGATCAAGATGAGACCAAAGAATCTGGCAAATATTACAGCCTCCAAGGTACTGTTAACATATTTACTTTATATTTAAAAGATTCTGTTGAGTATACATATTAGTATTATATGGTTTTAAATCACATGTCATGCTGCTGACTGAAAGTTTGGTGATTTGAATTCACCAGTCCCTCCATGAGAGAAAGATTGGCAGTCTCCTCCAGGCAAGAGTTAAGGAGTTAGAAACCTCATTGACGGTGGCTATAAGTTGGACTAGATCCAAAGTGGAGGTTTGGCATATTATTATATTCAGAATTATTTGAGTCACAAGTATCAAACTCTTGAAAAACTGGCATAAAAAAATAAGAGCATTCATGACCCCATGTAATATCAGGGAGAAAAGTTGCAGACAAGACACAATTGACAAGTAAGAAGTTTAATGAATGATGTCTTTATCCTTCAGTATCATTGTTTCTTAATCATATTCTACCTCTTGAGCTGGTTGAATATAGACCAATTATTTTTGGTACAGTGACTCTGCATATTCCTTACATCGTTTTTTGGTATTTTGCCTCATTCAATATTTTGGCCATAGAGTTCTTCCCTATTACAACTTGAGGCTTGAATTTGGTTTTCAGTTCATTCACTTAAAAAATGATGAGCATGTTTTTACTTTTTGGTTTTTGCTCCAGATTATTTGCACATTTTATTAAAATATTTTGCTTTGTCTTCCTGAGCCACCCCGTTAAAATCAATTCCACTCTCTTATTCCTTATATTTTCATTAACTTTACCTTCTGTATGTCTAGAGAAGTTTTCAGAGTCTCTTGTGACATCTGTTTTGGCCTTTTCTTTCTTTTTTGTCTTTGGATGACCTTTTACTTTCTGTATCATTTCCTCATTATCATGTTAGATTTCTCTCATTAGCCATTATCATTCAAAGAATCAATTCTACCATTTGAGATGGTCTCCAACTTCAGGTGTGATATATTCAAGATTATATTTTGGTTCTCATAGACTTTTAAAATTAATCTTCAGCTTCAATTTGAATTTACACATGAGCAATTGATGGCCTATTCCACAATCAAACCCTAGCTTTGTTTTGACATAACATTAAATTTCTATACCATCTCTTTCCACAGATATAGCTAATTTGATTACTATTTATTCTATTCCAGCAAAATCCAAATATAAAGTACCTGTTTGTATATATTTTTTAAATGTGTTCCCAACATTAATAAAATAAAAATTCTCAATGCTAAACCAGTCAGCAGCATCATAGTAAAGATTGAAGTTGTAAATTATTTCACTTGGCAAGAAACTGCACTACAATCCTGAAGGCACGCAACTTGAGGCCACCAGCCACTCTGTGGGAGAAGGATGGGCAATCTCCTCCCATGTGATGAACTGCCTCTGAAAACCCACCAGAGAGTCAGCTATGGGTCAGTTCTGACTTGACAGTGCACAACAACAACACAACAACTTGGATCCACAATCAACACTAACAGTAATAGCAATCAAGAAGTCAAAAGATTAATTGCACTGGGAAAATCTACTGTCAAGGATGTCTTCAAAATGCTAAAGAGCAACGTGTCAGTAAAGACTAAGGGGCACCTGATCCAAGCCAGGGTGTTTTCAGTTACTTCCTATGCATCTGAAAGTTGGACAATAATTGACAACAACAGAAGAAGAATTGATGCCTTTGAGTTGTGGTGTTGGAGAAAACTATTAAATAGCTCATGGACTGAAAAAAAAAAAATCCCACAGATCTGTCTTGGAGGAAGTGCAAGTGCCTCCTTTAGAGGCAAGGATTATGAAATGCCATCTCATATACTTTGAGAGTGTTGTCAGACGGGATCAGTCTTGGAAGACATCATGGTAGGAAAGGTGGAGAGTCAGAAAAAGAAGACCCTCAACAAGATGAATTGACCTAATGACTGTAGCAATAGATGGGAGCATATAAAAGCTGCTTAGAACGGTGTAGGATATGGCAAGGGTCAATCTCTTGTTCGTAGGACCCTATGAATCATAGTCAACTCAGTGACACCTAACAACAATTTACAATAAAGAACTGGCTGTACAAATTTCTACCAGATAATCTCCAACTCTGTTCTATCACCAAGCTATATTCCAGTCACCAGTCCTTCTTCTTTGCTCCCATGTGTTATATATTAATTACCATTTATTACTAAAGCATCTTGATTGCATGCTTGATCAATTTTAGATTGAAATGTTGGTTGAAATGCTCACTCTCTTCATTTTTGATTGTTTGTGGTGTATATTTGAATAACTATCTTAACAGGTAATCTTGGTATGAATTTGTATATTATCTTGGGACTGGCAATGGTGTATTCCAGGCTTGATCTTGAAATTTTCTTTTTGATCATAAATGTGATGTCATTCCTCTCCAATGTGTCATTTGTACATAGTAGACCATGTTGCTATCTTATTCAAAGTGGTCATTAGCAATCTATTTTGGCACGCCAATGCCTGTGATATAAGTCTATAAATTCTATTTTATTTTTTACAACTTCCAATTTTCCCAGATTAGTACATTGTCTAGTCCAGATTTTTTGGTGTTTTTTTTTAATGTTTACAATTGTTTTCTCTCAGTTTGACTTGGGTTCTACTTGGAGGAGATAGTTTTTCCCTCAGTCCTATTTTAAGGATCTTCCAACCTGAGGGACTGTATCAGACAATGTTCCACTACTGTTAGATGTTTATAAAAATTATTTTCATATTATATGGAGAATACTTGTATAATAAAAGAAAAAGAGGTCCATAAAATAATGCAAGAAATGAGCACATAGTTAATTTATTCCAAAGCAGTAAGTTTGTTTTAGAAAATGGATTATATTTTTATATTATCTTTATTGCCTTCTCTTTTATGTTTGCAAGTCAATTATAAATAAAAATATATAGTTGTTACACATGATAATGATATCTTTATATATCTCACACAGAATTCCCTTATAATCCAGATCACTGAAGTACAGCACGCAATTGATCAACTTAAGAGAAAATTGGATACTGACAAAATGAAACTCATAATAGAAGTTAAGGTAATTGACATTTTTCACAGATTACAAATTTAGCCTGAAATAAAATATTTTGATGTTTTAACCTTGAATATCCATAGTAAAAGGGGCATCAGCACTAACTGTCTTAATATTACACAATAGTAATAAAATTATGAATGAAAAATTGTGAGGTGGATAATGCAGTCTTGTGAACAACTAAATTTTATACAAAGTAAATATTTAGTGAATTTTCACCTGAAGAGAATTAATTAAAGGAGAAAAGTACCCTGTGAATCAAAGTCTCAATGTTGTTGTTGTTGTTGTTGTTTGATGCCGCCAAGTCATAGACGACAGTTTAAAAGAAATTGTTCTCTGACTCAAACTCAACTCATTACTGTCAGGTTAAAATCAACTCTTAGCTAAACCTCCAGGAATTTGCACATCTTTCTCCCCTAGAGCAGCTGGTGGATTAGAACTACCTGCCTTTAGGTAGAGAGCTAACTCCATATCCACTAGAACCTTTCCATTCATAGTAAAACCATACATAAGATTAACAAACCACTTAGCTCTCTTCTGAATTTTGTTTACATTTTCCTCTATCCACATTTTTGGGTGCCCTCCAAACTAAGAAGCTATCTTCTGAAACTGTATCAGACAATGTTTTGTTGTTATTCATAATATTGCAGCGCTATTAATAATTTTTATACCAAGATACATAAACTATTCAACATGAATTGTAGGATTTCTACTATTTCCCTTGGGACAGAGATTATGCCTTAGTTACGTTTGTTACATTTTTTTCTTTCTTAAAACCTTTTGTAGAATAAATCTTAGTTGAGGGTACTGACCTGAACTTATTTTATACATGTTTAAATATCATATGATAGGAATGATTTTCTAAGTAATGAATCTCATTCAGTATCATCTGAAAAAATTAGGCCTGGTGCTGATTGTGGAACAGACCACCAATTACTCATATGCAAATTCAAGCTGAAGCCAAGAAAAATTAAGTCAAATTTACAGGAATCAAAATTTTACCTTGAGTCTATCCCACATGAATTTCAAAACCATCTCAGGAACAGGTTTGAGGTCTTGAACACTGAAGAGCGAAGACCAGATGAG